CAACTCTAGGCAGCAATGTTCCCTCTAAGTTGTGGAGTCTTGTGAGCAAAAATCCTACTTTGTGAGCTGCTGGCATTAAAGTTGTGAGTGAGCGGTTTGGCTGCGGCATAAATTAGTTTGCTCTGGAGCCATCCTTCCCAAACTAAGACAAAAATGTGTGAGCCGGAGGCTAAAAAACTGAGCTCGCTCACACTAACTCAGCTTAGAGGGAACACTGCTTGGCAGTCATCCACACTTGCATGCGCACACACAATAGTAGGGAGGGATCTTTAAGCAGTGAAGATCCTCTACCAGCTTTGCAGGAAAAGAGATATAACGAAATCGGGGGGGGGGGAGTTTATTAAGGGGATAAAGTTAAATATCTGTGAAGTGGGATTAGCAGATCTCAAGCAGTCAAAATAATATCAACACTATCCGTATCCAACAAGTGTGTGTGGAGGGATTCCCTCCCTCTCCACTTTCTCGCTGGGCCTGCGCTCAGTGTGACTCCGGAGCCTGCGTCTGTGCTGCCAGTTGGCCCCTGACCACTCCTGGGCAGGGGGGGGGGGGTTTATTAAGGGGATAAAGCTAAATATCTGTGAAGTAGGATTAGCAGATCTCAGTCACTCAAAATAATATCAACACTATCAGTATCCAATAAGTGTGTGTGGAGGGATCCCCCCCTCACTTTCTCGCTGGGCCTGCACTCAGTGTGACTCCGGAGCCTGCGTCTGTGCTGCCAGTTGGCCCCTGACCACTCCTGGGCAACCCCGCTGGCGGCAGCATGCCCAGCACGACTCCTAGGCTGCATTTGCGGCACAGGTTCTTGGCTGGGTAGCCAACACCACAGGGCCCAGTGTGGCTCCCAGGCTCAGCGTGGAGCACTGGGCTGTGTGGCCGCCACCCACCACCACTGCCAGAGCCAGCACTGAGACCCGGGCTGTGCTGCCACCACCACTGAACCCAGCATGGCTCTCCAGCACCACCACCATTGACCGCCAGAGGTTGGTGTGTTCTCTGCACTTGCACAGAGAACGGTGTTTGAGGGGAATTTAAGCCCCCCCATGAAATGCACTGGATTGGGTTCTAGTCCATGAAAGCTTACATTGGAATAATGTTGATAGTCTTTAAGGGGCTACAAGACTCTTACTTATTTGGGTGCTTCCCGCTGGAAGTATTAAGAAGCAGACTGTGTGCTTGTTAAGTAGTCAGAGTTGCCAAGAGGCCTGGAGAAAACTGTCCTGTCCCTTCCACAGAGGTGTAATGGGTGAAAATGGACAAGTGAAGTGTTTCATGGTATGAAAGTAAATAACATCCTATTAGAAGAGGAAGAGACTGGATTTATACCCCGCCCTTCACTAATCAAAGGAGACTCAAAGTGGCTTATAATCCCTTTCCCTTCCCCTCCCCACAACAGACACCCTGTAAGGTAGGTGGGGCCGAGAGAGTTTCAAAAACTGCCCTTAAGAGAACAGCTCTGAAAGAACTTAGGACTGACCCAAGGTCACACCAGCAGCTGCATGTGGAGGAGTGGGGAATCAAACCCCATTCTCCCAGATTACAGTCCGTGCTCTTAACCACTACACCAAACTGGCCTGTATTAAAAGGATGGGACATTTTTCTTCTAGGCAGTTGTCCACCCTATAAGTACTCCACGTCTTGGAGATTTTGTTTCCTGGTTATTTTCTGCGTGCTTGGGGAAGATTTGGGCTGTCCGCTCATTCAGCTGTAAGAGGCTAGGAAGCTTGGTAAACCAGCCTTCGATTTTAGCTGATAATGTGTCGCAAAATCAAATGACCAAATTTGTTCTCCCTGCTAGCACAATGGCATAGTAGAACTGGTGTAACCTTTTAATAGGCTGGCACAGAAGGAAAGGCGGGGGGTGGGGGGAGAAGATGTGAGAGAAAACACAGCAGGTATCTGGGTTCACAAACTGACACAAGGAATGGTTAAGTGCCATTGCTGAGCAAGGAAAACACATTTTCTGTTATGTTTTTGTAATGGGGGGGAACTAGAAGCAAATGAGACTAGCAAAATTATTTCATATTCTTGAATGAATACATGTAGGGGGGGGGACCCATATCTATCTCACACACATATAAAATTGCTTGCCTGTTTCCCCCCCCCAGTACATTTTAACATTTTATGCTTTCAAACCTGAAACTTTCCCCACCCACACTTCTTTAAAGTTAAGATTCTCCCCACCCATGGTTTTCAGTTATTTGCTTTGGTGTGCACTCCATGGCTTTCTCTCCTCTCAGCTTGTGGTGATTTTGACTCTTGGTGGCTCCAGAGTGCCACAACAGCGCCTGCTTTCTTTGTTCCTTATCTGTTCATCGTTTCTGTTGCTTTTTCTCCCTTACCCTTCATTTCCTGCAGAGGCATCGTGCCAAGGCAATTGACTTACTGTTTGGAAGAACCTGGGCATGATTTCCCCATATTTTCTTTCTTCCTTTAGACATAACCCACCCCAGAGCTCAGGTTGTGATATAAATGGACAGCAGTCCATTTTTTTAAAAAAGAACCCTACCATTATCATAGAACTAGGAGCTGAACCAGTTCAGCCGCTTCTCTAATCCCTAGCCCTGAGGTGACTCCCAAGATTATCACAGCTATAACACCTGTAGTCAACTTATATATACAGATAGTCCAGTGTAGATATAGGAGTATGAGGAACTGCCATGATATCTATTCATTCCTCATAGGCCTCTGTGTGTAAAAGTGCTGTCAAGTCACAGCTAACTTACAGCAACCCCAGCAAGGGGCTTTCAAGGCAAGTGAGAAGCAGAGGTGGTTTGCCATTGCCTTCCTCTGCAGAGTCTTCCTTGGTGGTCTCCCGTCCAAGTACTTACCCTACTTAGCTTCCAAGATCTGATGAGATTGGGCTACGCTATGCTGCCTCCCCTACACTCATTCCTCATATACTGAAGCAGAAAAATACATGCACTAACCATGCAAAAGGGTGACCGTGTAGATTGTGCGGGTTTCACATAGCATGTGAGTTAGGAGCACCAAAATAACAGCAATTGAAAAGGGCTTTTGTTATTGCTCATACCTCACAGGTACATATGCTTTTTAAAAAAATTAAAGATGGGTTACCTAATTCTACCCCGGCATGACATCAGACAGCATCCATGCATAATACACTTACGCCTTCTCTAATTTTTTTTTTGTACTTAATTGTTATTTTTAGTAATATCAATTTTTATGTGTTGCACAAACAATGCTATACTATTATAATACAACACACATACAAGGTACGGGGCCGAAAATTCATTTATAAATAACTGTTCTAATTTTTATATATTTTAACAACAAATTATATATCTGTTTAAACAAATAGACTATTAAAATCCAACAGTTATATCCTGCAGTATGATATATACTAAGTTGTACTTGTATTAGACCACCATCTAGTAGTGAATCACCAAATCGCTTGAATATCTACTTAATAAGGCAAGATAATGCTTGACATCATTATAACACTGAATGGCATTGATGGAAATTAAGTATCTATTGGAAAGATGTTATAGATTTTACATTGGAGTTTCTATTTTAAAGAATTTAATATAGCATCTATTTATATGCTATTTGAAATAGATAAAACATCCTAAAATTAACTTTGACCACTATATATATATATACATACACACACACACACCCTGTTTTCCCCAAAATAAGACCTACCCCCAAAATAAGCCCTAGCAGGATTTCTATGCATTTGTGGTATAAGCCCTAATGTGTCTTCTTGAGAAGAAATCAATATGACAGTGTCTTATTTTCGGGGAAACACGGTATATATATAGTTATAGTTATAGGAAAAGGAATATTGTTTACTAATCTAAAGTTTGAATCAATATGGTTCTAAATTTAATATTATCTAAATTAATCATTAGGGGGAAAAGAGGGGGGCATCTGTCTAGTCCTCAAACAATTTTGGTTATGTATATAATTAGGAGATTTATATAGTTTTATACCCTGTAGGGAAGGGAAGACAGAGTCCACAAGTTGACTTTGTTATAGTTTTGTAACAATGTTTGTTTTTGTTTGTATATTGTTTGTATTGGTTAAGACATATGATGAGACAGACTATATTTCACACCCAAATTTGGAGAGTAAATCCAATATGGAAAATATAATAATTTTGATGATATCCATGAGGTGCAACAACTTAAATATATTCAACAATTGGCTTTTTTATATATCCAATAATGATTTCTAAACAACAAATTAAATACCTCTCTTTTAATTGTAGAGGTCTTAACTCACCCATCAAGAAGAAGAGAGTGCTTTCAGAGTTATTGAGACAAAATGCTAATATTATATTTTTACAAGAGACACACCACAAAGGTAAACAAGATGCAGTTTTCAACTCCCAGAAATTTTCAAAACAATACCAAGCACAAGGCTCATCCAAGTCCAGGGGAGTTGCAATTTTAATACACAAATCAGTAAGATTCCAACTTAACAAAACAGAATATGATCCTTCCGGAAGATATTTGTTTTTAAATGGTGCTCTAAATGGCCAAGCAATAACATTGGTCTCGTTATATGCACCAAATGAAGGCCAAGTCGAATTCATACGTAATACTTTATTTAAATTAGCAGCCTTTAGCACTGATCCATATGTGATTGGTGGTGACTTAAATTATATATCAAATCAAT